TGGATAGCTGGCCAATCAGAGCACACCTTGCTTTTCAGAACGATGAGCTTTGTAAAAATCAATGCATTTCAGAAAGGCGGGGCATAGAGGAGAAACAATAATGTACAGTATGTAGACAATAATGTGTTTTTTGCACCTTAAATCGCATAAACACATTTCGTTACACCAAATACACAAAATAATGTTCTTTTTAGCAACATCATATGACCCCTTTAAACTGTGCCTGCTACAAGAGAATGAGGGGAAATCAATTTTGCTACATACTCTACTGGACACGGTGTTCAAGGTTGGGTTGTGAATGCATGAATAAACAATATATGTTGTGAAAAATTATGTTGCCATTTGAGTTATTTACACAATATGATTCACAACAAACACAAAACAAACAAATTCTCATCACATAAAAGAATCACAAAGGAAATAGACAAAATAATTATGTAGGTGTATGAAATGTCCAACAAGGATGTTTTTTTTGTTTCTTTTGCATTTATTTTACAGGACAGTGCAGAGGAGACAGGAAGCGAAGTGGGAGAGAGAGGGGGGGGGGGGGGGGCACGATCGAGAAAGGTCCTCGAGCCGGGATTGCCCAAAGCACAACGCTGCTTTATGTCAGTGTGCTGCTCACAAGGCTATTGGTGCAGATTCAAACAAAGATGTTGATGAACAATTTTGTTTGGTAAAGAGCAGTCAAAAGAATGTCTTATATATTGATGGTAGAGTTGATGAAATTATGAGATATAGTAGTCCTTATTGGTATAGGCCTGAAGTCCTTTGGAGCTTGCTTGGGTGCAGTTTTGCAACGGCCCAAGGACTTTATTCAAAGTTGGGCACTCCACAAGGCAGTGTATATGCAGTCCTCTACAAAAGAAAACAACTCATAAACTTTCTTTTACAAACCCAACAAACATAGCACACAAAACATTTGAATGTAACCTTTTCTAAACAATAAATTTCACAAACTCTTCACAAAAGCATACACAGAAGCAAAAGATGAAATATCTATAAAAACTTTCTCGGTTACTGACGTAACCTTGGTTCCCTGAGATACGAGTACGATTACTGCATCACTAGATGCTATGGAAAAACTCCTTTTTCTCCGATACTAAAGCCTTTTTTAGTAAAGCATTGTAACTGGTAAGACTCTCCACTAAGGGTCTTTCCAAGGGGCCAGAGCTGCCACGCAGGCCTGGTCCACCTTGATATACAGGCATCCGTGATGCCAGGCGTCGGACAGAACTCGTAGTTTCAGCCAGTACTGAAGGGGCCGCATACGAAGCAGGCCCAGCTGTAGCACTGAAAATGCAGAGGCCATGAGGCCCAGCATCTTCTGAAACATCTAGAGAGGGCGAGAGGCTCAAATTCGAGGAAGGCCACGAGCTGCTGAATAGCCAGTGCACATTCGGGCTGAGTCGAAAACTGCTCCCAGGAACGGAATCCGTTGGCTGGGGGGCAGTGAACTCTTGGCAACATTGACCCTGAGTCCCAGGCATTCCAAATTACTGAGGAGGAGGAATCTGTGGGATAGTAGCTCGGCCTTTGACTGGGCTAAGATGAGCCAGTTGTTGTGGTAATTCAGAATGCAAATTCCCGTCTGCCTCAGAGGGGAAAGAGCTGCATATATGCACTTCGTAAAAGTGCGACGAGCCAGGGACAGCCCGAAGGGAAGGACCGTGTATTGATAAGCCACTCCCTTGAAGGTGAATCTCAAGAATAGTCTGTGATCAGGGGCTGTCTGGATGTGAAAGTAGGCGTCTTTCAGGTCCAGAAAAGAGAACCAGTCCCCTGGGCATATTGCGAGAGGATCTGTTTCAATGCAGTCATCCTGAACGGCTGTTTCATGGGGGCACGGTTCAGGTGCCTGAGGTCGAGGATGGGCTGTAGGCCGCCATCCTGTTTTTGGGAATGAGGAAGTAACGGCTGTAGAAGCCTGACTCGCTGTGAACTGGAGGAACCGATTCTATGGCTCCTTTGCCAGTAAATTCATCACCTCGAAGCGCAGGACGTCAAGGTGGGAACCACGCCGCTGAATCGTGAATCGTGGGGGTCTTTGAGTGAATTGAAGTGAGTAACCTCGTTTTATTATCCCCCAAACCCCAACCTGACACTCCGGGGTTGGCCAGCCAGGCCACGGCCCGCGTGGCAAGGGGTTGGATTGACATGATACTCGCGAGTGGAAGAGGAAGTTTTGCTCTCTTGTTGGACCGCTGTCATAGCTAATGAAAAGGACATGCCCAGCTCGAATAGAATCTCCATTGCTCAGTATTGAACAGAGGAATGGAGAACAAGAGCGAGCTTTCTTCGAGGGAGTTCCAGCCTGGCGAGAACTTATCCTCTCAAAAATGTTTTGCTAGACTCAATGCTCCCGCAGCAGAGCAGTCAGCCCGTGAGCGCGGCCTCAGCGTGGGCGTGGCCCAGACGCATCCAATTCTGAAGCTGTCAGTGATAATAAACATTAGTGACAGCATTCTCTTCCAATCTGCCTAAAATGATCAAACCGCTCGTTAGAAGAGGAGTATTTGCTGATCCTTGTATATAAACACACCGGCAGATCAAAGGTGCTGCGCGCATTCTCTCAGATCTGTTCGTAGCAGACGAGGGGAGGGGCAGGGCTACCTTCATTAAAGAAGGCGAACCGTGAGCTAAGCAGAGCGAGAGACAACTCTCATAGTGAGAGCGATCTGTCTCAGTGAGCGCAGCTTTAGCGTGGGCGTGGCCCAAGCGGCGCACTCAAACTCGAATCTGTCAGCAATACTGAAATCATTGGTGACAGCATTCTGCTCAGATCCGCTTAGAAGGATTGAGCGGCTCGACAAAACGAGAGGAGCTGATCCTTACGTATAAACACACTGGCATATCAAAGAGCTGCGTGGAGAGTGAAGCACACGGGGGCTGTGCCGGCATGAAATTACTCAAGCCTGATCGCTCAGCCCTGTGAGTTCGCCGTTTCTTTCTCCAAGGTAACTCGGGTAAACGGGGGGTTTGGTTGTGTAGTTCGAGGGACCCACTCCCCACTAACAAAGGTCCAGAATTTATTTTTATTTATTTAAATAAACAAGTGTTCTTATCACAACGCACTGGATAGCTGGCCAATCAGAGCACACCTCGCTTTTCAGAACATGTGAGGATCAAAGTGAAGCGGGGAGAGAGAGTACGTGGGCTCTGTGTCGGTGTGAGATTGCTCAGACACGGTTGCTTAGCTCCCTGACTCCGCTGTTTCTCTCTCCAAGCTTTGCTGAGAGAGAAGAAATGTGAGAGCGGGGCTGCCTTCATTGAAATAGGCGGACCGCGAGCGGAGAAGAGCGAGACTCATGCTCTCAGTGAGAGCATTCCGGCTCTGTGTGGGTGCTGCCCAGACAGGCGACACACTCACCGCCCTTCTGCATCGCACTCGCAGCACGACATTTGC